GGCCGTGAGCTACTTCCCCGCAGCAGCCCAGTGAAATACCTCTAACTGGTCTGAGTCTGCCGGCTCCGGCCTCCTGCTTCCCTCCCTCCCGACCGCTCACCCACCTTCGGATGACTCACTGGGTGGTGTCAGGGACAGGCTGGTATGAACTCAGGGGACAGGAATGTACAGCCAATGAGGCCATAAGGGCAAACACAAGAAAGGGAGAGTGAGTCACTGGCAGGGGGAGAAGGAAATGAGGGGAGGCTCAAGGAGAGCAGGGCAAGGGAGCCGTCGAAAATGAAATTAAAGGCAGGGGAGTTGCACAGAGAAAAGGAAAAAAGCAAGCAGGAGGCAAAGAGGGACATTATTATTGTTATTAATAAAAGCAGTGTTGCCCTCTGCTTTAACCCTTTCGGTAAGGGTTTCTTCCCTCCACGAGCCTCCTCCACTTGGCTGACTTATCTTCCAATGGAACGTGACATCAGGAAGAGGAACAGCTACTGAAAAGGGAGAGACACAGGGCAAAATTAAAGTGAGAGTGTTCAGAGCGAAGAGACAAAGGCACCAAACAGACACACGTGTCCCTAGAACTCCTAAGCCCCGGGAATAGATGCCTGCCCTGTGTTTGCACCCACACTGGGATCCTTGGAAGAGGTTTTTGAAAAACACTCCGTGTGTTTTTCAAAGCCAAGGGCTGCTTGTGGCTACCAGAAGAGAAACCATGTGCTGCCACGTGCAGCTCTGGAGGAAATGACTGGGAATGTCGTCTATAGGACGTTCACGTGTGGCCATCTTCTGTGGCTGTAGACCCATTGTTTACCCAATCAGCATATTTATTTTGTAAAATACATTTTGGTAATGTGTTTGCAAGGTGAGTAAGAGTGCCTCCGATGATTCACACAAGTTGATCCAACGGAAACAGTAACAAGGAGAGACCTGAAACCCACCACCATTGACAGCAGAGGCAACCCAAACAGCAGGCCACGGATGATCTGTTGCTGCTCAAATGCCCGGGAAAACAAAATCGGTTTTCACCTGCTGTCTAGCTATGCTAGCACCGTGGGCTCTGAGCCAGCATTCCAGGAGAGGACATTCCGAATGTGGGGCACCACTCCCAAAAAGGACCCATCTCCATCTCTCATCACCCTACCTCTGCCTTACTTTTGAAAACAACAGGTACTCAGGGCAGGCCCCGGTAATGATCTAAGAGAACCAGAACTGGCAGGGATGGACTGCAGAAGGAGTTTTATTTCATTTGCACTTTGCATCAAATATACTCAAATCACATTTCCCAAATCATGTGCAAACCAGAATGCAAGTTATTTTTCCGTATCCACCTATCTTAAAACTGAGATATCAAGTACTCAAAACAAAAATGCAGATAAAAACATGCATAAAAAAATAAGGAAGTACCCACAAAAATGTCTCTGCAGATAGGGAAATGTTCCAAAAAGCATGATGAAATGGAAACCCACTTGCAAAAAAATCACTTATATTAAGCAAAATCTGTACAACAATGCATACTCGTTTCGCTGTGTGCTTTAAAAATTTTTTTAAACTGAGACAGGAATGGAATGAAGGGCTGAGAGAAAGTATGAAAATCCAAGAAAAAAGAGAATTACTGTATTTTTCGCTCTACAAGACGCACTTTTTCCCCCCCTCAAAAGTAAGGGGAAATGTCTGTGCGTCTTATAGAGCGAATGTGTGTGTGCCCGACGCCCGGGATGCTGCCGGCCACCTGCACCACGTGGCACCACCTGGCCGGCACGCGCTCAGCACGCCCTGCTCCGCTCCCCCCCCCGGCGCAGGTGAGCTGTGCCACTCAGGGGGAGAGGTGCAGAGGAGGAGGAGCCGTGGGCTTTAACCCGCCAGCTGCACGGAAAGATGGACTGCTCACCCCCACCACCCGGGAAGACCTGCTGCCCCTGCCACGGAAGACCATCGCTGGCACGCTGCCGGCCCCATGTGGTACCACCTGGCCAGCATGTGCTTGGCACGCCCTGCTCCGCCCCCCTCCTCCGGTGCAGGTGAGAGCTGTTAATCACAGGTGGGTGGGTGTTTTCAAATGGCAACCCGTCTTTTAATGAAGCCCATGGGGAAGTGATGGGGAATGTGCCTGCGATTATCTAGAAGCTTTCCATGAATCAGTTATCTGTTAGTTGGTCAGACACATTTCTTTTAGGATCAGTGGATATTTGAACAGCATTACCTTCATGTATGAAGTTTATTCTTCAAAGGCTACTTAGTCCGCTGTGTGTTTGATTTACCGTACAATATCTCATTTTTTTGTCAGAAGTTTTTTTCTATTATTTACTAGTAGGGCAGCGTGGACATTACTGGCTTTTTTAGATTTGTTCTTGAATTGTCTGCAGCAGCTCTTGTATAACTGGTATAGATTGTGGATTCCTTCAATAATTCCACTACTGACTAAGAAAGTGTTGTCAGTGATTGTGAGCAAGAGCTTCATAAATTCTGACTCTAGTGATGATGAGTTCTATGGGTTCAACGAAAACTAGAAGTGTACTCGAACTTTAAAGTCTCTCTTTTGTTAGTGACAGGGATGATGGTTCTTAATGCCACTGTTGACTGCTGTTAACTTTACAAGGTTGAAATACGGTATTACTGTATTCTGTTATAGTTTATTAAATAGTTTAGTAAACCATTTGATTCAGAATATTTTTTTCTTGTTTTCCTCCTCTAAAAACTAGGTGCGTCTTATGGAGCGAAAAATACGGTAACTAATTTGTTCATTATGTGGAGGTGACCCTTCAGACCCATGCACAAGCAGCATTAGGAAGCTGTGGCAAACCAGGGCTTTTCACTATTTCCGTGCATACAGGTGAATCATTCCTTTGCTGCTAGCATCACTCCAAGAGTTGCCAAGCAGGAAACCAGAAATGCAATTATGCTGGCATCCCAGCTCTTCAAAGAGCTGGCCAAAGCCTACGCTGTCTCCCATCATAGCCCTGGCTGAGTTCAGACCTGCTTAACTGCCGAGACAGTTACAAGGTACCTGCAGGCTATACCCTGGATACCGAAATGTTATGAAGCCATCAGCCTTGCCTGCCATGTGCCCCTAGGATTCCCTGGTGGTTTGCAGCCTTCTGTGGAAGCAAACATCATTGTTCTCAAGGGATTTGCTTCCCTATGTTCCATTTAGGATCATCCACAGGGCCGAAGCTCAGCTCAGGGAAGTCGTGATGGGCACTTGGTCCCGAATTCCCAAACTCAGCCATGATCCCTCCAAAATACGTGCACTCTTGTGTGTGCATATAGAAGATGTCATGTGACCAAAGAACCCACCTCACCATAGCAATTCTCTCCACACATTCTGGTGTCAGAGGAAAAGGCAGGCTTAAATGCCACATTGTGCCAGCTGTTTCTAGATTACAAAAACAATCAAACCCTTTGACTTACAAGTCAACAAAGCTGTAAATTGTTCCATTACAAAACAGAAGATAAAACCCAGAAGTTAGCTAATGAACAGTCTTTCCCAAGCTGAAGCCTTTCCACGTGTTTGGACTAAAACTCCCACCATCTCCCCGCCAGTTGGTTGGGGATGATAGGAGTCATTAACGGGGTCCCCAGCACACATTAAGCCACAGTGGTGGGTTGTCTGAACCCAGCTGTGGTATTTCATCATGATAAATGTTGCTCTCAGAAACCATGATAAGAAACCAGTTTTCCATGGTTTCTGCTCACCAAGATTGCTTGTGGTGGCGTTCAAACCTGGACAACACAAGCCATCATGATAGGGAACCGGTAACCACAGAGCTGCTAGCCAAAAAGCTCTGCTGACGGTGCCCCGGTTTGGCTGCGGGCTCCCAACTACACACGTTGGAGGGGAAAACTGCTATTGCACAAGCAAAAGGAGAGAGACTCTGCTGGGAAGTGGTGCCCCCACCCCTGGGACTGTGTGCCCTGGCTGAGAGCGTCCTCTTGCTCGAACCGGAGATCTTTCCTCTCAGTCAGCAGCAGGGGAGCAACCTTTGCCTTAGAATGGATCGGGGACCCCGCTTCCTGCTTCAGGGTTCCCTTTGCAGCACGGAGGGAGGGTGCCCAATCAACTCCAGCCAGTATTTTGGGCCATGAGCCCTGTCTGAGCAGCAGAGACCACTTGACAGCTGCAGTGAGAATTCAGCTCGTGGTCAGAGGTGTCTCAAGGAGAAGAGCTTCATTCCTCCAGCCTGGAGGACTGAAAGGGAAGGAGACAGTGGGAGGAGAGCAACCATGACGACACCAACCTACTGAGGTCAAGCTGGGTTATCATGACCTGCAAATCTGTCTGCGGTCTAACACATCTGGAATGAAGCGGGGTGGGGAAAGCTGGAATGAAGCACTAGCACCAACACTTGAAGGCAAACCCAAATAAACCCATCAATTTGGAAGCAAAGCAGAAGTAAAACTCAGTCATAACCAGCCTTGGGAAGGATAGGGAAAAAGTCACAGGTGGGAGGACATTCCACAGCTGCGGGTTGTTAGAAAAGCACCTGTGTCTTGCACAGCAGCCTCTGTATGGTGGCATTTTCAGCACCGTCTCACTGGTAGATCTTAAATGCTGGTGGGGCGTCCGCCCGTCCATCCATGTGTGGGGTGTTTTGGGTCCAGGTTTAAGGCTGCAATCCTCTCCTTGCTTCCTGGGGAGTAAGCTCATTGAACTCAGTGGGACTTATTCTAAGCAGGCATTTATAGGATTGTGCAGGAAATGTATGGATAACTAGAAAGGGAGAGCTTTTCTAAAAATAATAGCAGGCAGGAGAAAATGAACAGAATTGCACAATGGGTTGAAAGACTCTGATTCAGCTCTACTGCTGAAGCACTGAGCTGGACGGAAGATCGCCTGGAACAGGCTAGCTCAACCAGGAGTCCTCCCTATCTTTTGCATTACAGCTCCCAGCATCGCTGCAGGCTAGAACTGATGGGAGTTGAAGTATCCCCCAAAATTAAATCTCAGTGCTGGGGTTGACAAATAGGAAAATAAGCTGTATCATTTTTATACCAAATAAAACACCCTTTGGTTTCATGAAGAATTATTTTTTTATTTTATTTAAATCCACAAACTCTGGTTCAACAAGTGACATGCTTGGTTTTATTTCTCCCCCATGCCTGCAAAAAATCACACCCATAAAATTAAAGTTGCCTTATTAGAGCAGAAGATATATAAATAGGTTTTCCTCAAAGAGTTGAGCACCACAGGCAGGGGAAGTAGGAGGGAAAACCCAATGTTAATGCAATCCTGCATAACTTGTGGCTTTTTGCTGTTTTCATGATGTGGCCCAGCCACCGATATATGAACAACACACAAGAGGCTAGTCCCTACTCCTCTTCCAGAGAGCCTGAGCACCCAACATACGTCTCTATATACAGATAATCTAAAAATCACATTCAGATTTGCCCTTGACTGCTCCAGGGGAGGAAGCAAGACAGGCGACGCTGCGACCTTCCTTACAGAAATTGCCTCCTGGCAAGAGGAAATTGGGAGCTGGAAGGTTTTCTCACAGCTGTATCCCAGTATGAAAATGCCACCCCAATATGGGGCACTAGACCATGGGGAATTAAAGAGATCCCTTTTATGCCTCCCTAAAAGTTAGGGAGAGGTGGATGTAGCTTTCTCAAAAGGACCACCAATACTTGTGTTTTGTTTTTTCCTGAAATGTAGAAATGGTAAGTGACCATCGGACCTCATATCACATTATCTCCTAAATATGTGTGCATGCGTGCAAAAGTGTGTAACACCCCAGAATCTCGGGGCAGATAATAATGTCCTTCTGGCATCTTCAGGAAAAGTCAGAGGTAATGAAAGGATCAACTGCTGTCCTCTTGTTCTCTTGCATTTGAAATGTCAACAAAAGATCTGCATGAGAGGGAGAAAAAACGAATGGGAATATGAGGAGACCAAAGATATGGAGAGACAAGGTAGCAGCATCCATCCCAACCTGGTGCCCTCCAACCTGTTTTGGCCAGGCTGGCTGGGATGATGGGAGTTGTAGTCAAACACACCTAGAGGGCACCAGCTTGTGGAAGGTGGGTTACAGTGTTGGGCACAGAGCAGGAAAGACCAATCTGCTTAGCCAAAAAGGAACTTGCAGGGTCAGTCACGGTCTTCCAGGCTACCCACTCAAGGTTGTAAGGATAAAAGAGGGGTTGATACCAGCTATTCTGCCATGAGCTCACTGGAAGAAAGGCAAGAGACACCCAAGGACTGAGATTAAGAGGCAACTGCCAAGGAGGGCTTGAGGCACCCTGTGCAGTCCTTCGCATTTCTATTCTGGAGTGAGCCCCATTGAATTCAACAGGGCTTACTGCTGGTTAAAAATGCACAGGACTGCAGCTTATTTTATACCCTCAGTGACTTAGCACTGTGCATATGTCGAAGGGAACGAAGGGAACATCCATCTTTCATTATCAGATGTCAATTAAATAACCCCCCTACAAACATATTTAGCTTCTGCAAGTGGCTACCCCTCTGGGGTATGTTTTTGGTTAGTACAGAACAGGAAGAAGAGGAAGGTATGGAGATGTGACAAAGCTTTTCTGGACAACCCCTGAGGGCTAGAAACTTGCTTCCTTTTATTTAAGTGAATGAAACCACATCGATGTTAACTGTTCTGTCTGTGGGCAGAAGTACAGAGAGAGGACAGAGTAAAGCAGGGCTGGCCCAAAATGTTTGTGGTAATCCTACAATGCTCCCTGCCAAGTCAAGGTGGAGAAAGCCAGGATTGGCTGAAAGATTTTGGCAATGCAGACAGAAAAGCTCCAGAGTATCTCACCCCAACCACAGAAGTAATAATACAAGACCAATAGATACAAAGATTTGCTGCTCTTTCATGAATGCCCCACATCTGTTCCTTAGGTGGCTCTCTGGCTGCCTAATGGTAGGGCCAGCAATGGAAGTATGAATGGAGCTGGGAAGCATCCTTTCTCACCTTCAGTGTATCAGTGATTCCTGAGCTGAATGGCCTCCAGTCTCTTCAATTGGGGCTGGAAATCAAGAGAAAAGAGTGATAAGTTTAGATATGTGGGAGGCTCAGCTTTCAAGATGTTCACAGCAACAAACAGCTGAAGAGGAAGCACTTACTGGTGAATTTTTCCCGCCGCCGGCAGCGGGCATAAATTATTATGCCTCCAATAATGCCAGCTAGGACTACAGCCCCCAGTGACGCTCCCACTAAAAGCCACATATTGAAAGTATCTGGGAGCTGAGGGTCTCCACCTGCATAAGAAAGGAGAGAGGAATGCGTTAAAATCAGTGAAGATTGCCCCATGATCTGACCTGCTTCTAGTCCCCAGTCTCTTCCTCTGCTTCAATACTGCATACTCAAAGCTCATTGTTTTCTTCCTGCCAACCTATCTCCCACAAGGCTGATCGGTTAACCTGCCACTGGAAATGGAACAATCAGAATGTTTTTAAAAATGCAATGTCCAATTCTGAACACAGAATGGAGAATTAACTTTTCAAGGTGCAGAATTCACAGTTAGGGCAAAATGTTCAACATGCGCATCAAAAATTGGGTGTGTATGTGAGCAAGGAGAAAAAAGAATCACCCGGAATGTAAAGAAAGCAGCATTTTAAAGTGTAGATCAGTCTATGTGCATTTGATATTTGGTCCATGCCTTTCTGAATTTGAGCTTCAGGTATGTACCCTTCTCCCACAAGATACTGCAATATTAAAAGGCAGATACAACAGCTCAAATAGCCACTCATCCAAAAGAGGCGGCGGGTGAGACGCTGGGCCCACAGCTGTCTTTCAGCATGGCAATCTTGCAAGGACAGTGAAAGAGGCGGCCTAAAACAGTGGGTTGAACATGTAATACATGCGCAAGCTGCAGTAAAATTTGTGCCATGGACTGTTCCCCCTTTGGGACACTAACCAGCCCCATCTGCCTTCCAGTCTATCTCCATGCCTGGGGGCTGCCTGTAATTCCATGGCCCCCAGCCCAGTGGGCTGCTTCTCAGTTCCCCCTCTTGGAATGACTATTTTTTCAAGCCTTGGGGCTCCCCCCACCTTGATGACACGTCTCCTGTGAGCCAAGGGCCCCTTTGGTCCACCTAAGCCACAGCAAGCATCTGTGGGATTAGTGGGAAAGAGCCCATTCCCTCCTTCCCCAAGGAGCTGTTTTCCAGCCAGAGTGACCCCGTCCTGGTTCCAAGGGAAGGAAAGACGAAACCACCCTGACTTCCCTAACGAGTCTCACTGATAAGAGACCAAGACCAGGAGGACAGCCTGAGTAGGCAACCCAGGTATCGCCCGCTGTGCGTCCGTGGGCGTGTGCGTGATGGGCAGAAACCTGCACCCCTTCTGGCCGTGTTGGGAGGACAGCTCCCAGCATGCTTGACCTTTGGCCCTGCAAGCAGGAAGCTGTTGGGAGCTGGAGCCCAGCCACTGGGAAGGCCACAGTCTCCGCTCGCCTGGCACGGTGGGTAGAGCTTGGATGCCAGCCACTCACACGTGGAACAAAAGTCGTTCTTGTTCTGGCGCTGGCACACAGAGCAATCCATGCATTTCTCCAGGTCGGGGCTCCAGGACTGGCCTCCGGGACACACGGTGGCTGAGGGGAGAGGAAAAGAGGAGTCAGACAGGGCTTCTGTGGGGGCCCCCTGGCTAGGCAGAAGCTGAGCGTAAACCAGAGTTCACCATGCAGGTGCCCAACCCCTGAGGGAGTGGATTACAGCCCTTCAGGGAAACCAGCTGGGGAAGCCTGGTCTCTAGCCAATGACAGTGTCGACTTTGACATCAATCACAGAAATTATTATTAGTATTATTAGGAGAAATGAAGGGCCTGTCCAGGACCCCAAGGGCTCCCGGAAGGAAGGCCCTTGAAAGCAACATATTCTCCTTCTGAGCAAATCAGGTTAAGAGGAAGAGCCACCTGTTCAAAACAAATAAATAAGAAGCTGGCCCACACTCAGAGAAAGCACAGAAATACAATGAATGAATGAAAACGGCAAGAAAAGGGAAAGGCATGGAGGGACCTGACAAGCTCAGGCAGAAAAGATAACAGCTGAATGAAAAAGAAGAGCCAGCAGGTCGGGGGCGGGAGACCCTCAAGTGGGGGGCACCACACACAGTCCAGCCAGGCGACCCTCCCCCGCCCCATGACACTAGGGGCTATTTTAGAGGGGTAACGTCAGTGGCGACGGGGGTGTCGCGTTTCACCCCGAAACCTGAACCAGCCCCGAGCAGCGGGGGAGGGACAGCCGCGGGGGTCAGGCCTGAGGGGCAGCACGTGGCTGAGCTCAGGGGGAGGGGAAGCATGAGAGGGACCCTCCCCCGCTCCTCACGTCCTGCGCTTTCAAGTGACTTCATTGATAAAATATGCCCCCGTGCGTGCGAGCCAGCGAGCGAGCGGACAGATGGCGCCGTGCCCGGAGCTGGCGCGGGGAAAGCGGGGCGGGCTGCGGGTGAGTCACCGCGGGTCGGATGACGCCGGCGTCAGATTCCCTCTGCCCGCCCGCCCGGCCCCCGGCCCTCCAGCCCCGCTTGCGGGGACTCGAGACTGTCACCCCCCGAGGCGGCCAATGGGGAGCGGCGTCGGCCCGGGGGGCGTGGCTGGCTGCAAGCAAGGAACCGCCGGCTCCGACACAAGCGGCTCCTGAACTTATTCGCGCGCGGGGCGGGGTTTAATCCTCAGGCTCAGAACACGACGAGAGCAGCGACAGTGCCTCTGGGCATGTGCAGACAGCCTTCGCGTCCAGATCGGCTTGAGCTTCGTCTCCGCGCCCCCATTTCCTTCGCACTTCTCTACCGTAGGAATAGCATTAAGTGAATTCAGTGATCATCCTTATTTGTTCCTTCCTAAAAACGCACGTCTTTCTTTCGTTTGTTTGTTTATGTTTCTATCTCGCCTTTCCTCCAAGGACCCCAAGGCGACGTACATGCTCCTCTTTTCTATTCTGACAACGACCTGTAAGGTAGGTTAGGCTGAGAGTCAGTGACTGTCGCCCAGTGAGTTTCATTGGCTAGTGGGGTCTTCTGTGTGCTCTTAACTATTCTGTGTCAGGTAGACATAGAACAGGTTTAACCCTCCACCCATTACGAGTGGAACAATGGTGGGAAAGGCTCGACCTGTTGAAATTCTTCCTGGCAGACAGCTGTAGAGACTCAACTGGAAGAAGCAGCTGACAAACCTAGTTCGCACCTGCACACGCGCACACACGGAATTCCGCCTCTGATGCAAGGAAACAGCACGATTTCTACACACACGAATTTTAAACTGGAATTCTATGTAACTCAAAAGCTTACACACTTTTCCCAGAAACCGAGCCAACTTAAAAGATCGCCTCCTGGGCGAATTCCTCTGCCAACCTGTTTGCCTCACATTCCCTGGTTCTGCAAGGGTAACGTGCCCATCCCATCTCCGCACGTTTAACAGCTCCATAAAATAAATCCCGTTCAAGCTGTGACCCTCGCGAACTCGAGAAAGCGGCGTGCGAGAACATAAGAGCTGTGACAAGCCCCGTTCATTCATTCACTCACTCGCCCTCGCGGCTTTTCTCATTTCATTTCCCCAACTAATTCCGCTTTCCCCCCGAAAGGCATTTGGACCTTCCTCCGTCCTCCCCGTTCTCTCCTTCCAACTAGGAGTTGCAAGAAGCCAAAGGTGGAAACCCAACAGATGCAGCCTCCCCACCTGAGCATCTTTTCCGTGGCCAGGCGGGGAAGCCCCACTCACCGCAGTTCTTGAGGGCACAAGTTCTACCACGGAGAGCAAGAAGGACAGGGAAGAAGAGGGATTCCTGGCACGGCTTCTGGACCCTTTACCTGGAATGGGCTCTGCCCGGGCCCCCCCGAGCAACAGGGCGCAAAGCCCCAGGACGGCTCCGCAGACGAGCATCGCCGGAGCTCCCCGCAGCAGCTTGCCTTCGCCTCCCAGGACGGGGAAGAGGGAGCGACGGAGCCCCGCGCTGCCGGCCTCTCTGCGTGTGACTCAGCGCCAAAGACTTTCCTCGGCCCGCTACGAGGGACGCCCACGCAGATCCGGCAGGCCCGCGATTGGTGGGCCGGGGGCCAGGATTCCTGGGTCCCATCCTTTGATCTGGAAAAGGGATCGGGGGGGAGTGGGGGGAGTCCAGCAAGTCAAAGCAGGAAAAGCGAAGAGCGAGAAAGCCTGGATTTTTCCGGGCAAGGAAATGAGGCTCGTTAATTAAAACGCAGGGTGGAGGATGGGAGTTAGGACGCCTGGGTTCGGCGGGACTTCTGCTGAGTTCTGAAAGCCTCCATGTCGATTTTTGTGGTGCTTGTTCTTTATCTGTGCTCATATTTTAGTGGTGCTTTTCTTCTTGTTTTGTTTTTGTAAACTTCCCTCAAAAATTACTGTTGAAAGACGGTGGGGGAAAAACGTATAATCAATATAGAAAACGAAGCAAACAATGCAAACTCTGAATTGATATTCTTTGACCTACCCCTTGGATATGTAAGCGATTTATTTAGAGTGTTTCTTGTAAGACTGCTTTCTTTAAAACAAACCCCAAAACTTGGTACACAGAACATCAATGAACACAAAGGAGCCCTGTAGAAGCTTTGCACGTGGAGAGACATCTGGGCCAGCAGGATGAGGTTTGGGAGTGGATGCTACTGAGTTAAGAGCAGGCCAGAGGAGGAGGCTGTCTGGTTCTTTGGAAAGCCAGAAGGGAGCCTGGGAAGCAGACAGGCAGGTCTGCTGTCTGGTCTGAAAAGAGGTTATTCAGTCAGCTCCTGAGCAAATGGAATCATGCACATATGGAATGAGGCCTTTTTTCCTTTTCCCCCTTTTAAAGCTCGCCTGGCAAGTAGGAGCCTGGAAGACGCAGAAGGAGAGCGCAAGGCTGGCGCATCCCTTGGAAAAAGGAAGGTTCAGGGGCTCGCCCTGAGGACCAGCTCCTTGGCTGCCTGGAAGCCTTGCCTGTTGATCTCAGTAACTTGCTTGTGGTGCTTGGGGGTGATGGAAAGAGGCACTTACATGCCCAGAGGCACCTTTCCCTCCCTTACCTCAGGCTTTCCTTTTTGCTGCATCCTGGACACTGTAACCAAGGGCCTGATCCAGATCTGCTTCATGGAAGGTTTCTGTCCCTGCAATGCTTTGGCTAGTCCCACACACACACCGCGCAGCTCCACCCATTCAGTGGAATCTCTTGAATCTCTGTGCAGCATTTCCAGGGAGCTGGAGGGTCTGATGTGCAGAGTACGGGGCTGGGAGTTTCGCTTCCTCCAATGCATCTAATCCAACATAAATTTGGATAAAGTCCAGGTTTTTTGGAACTAAAGCCATCTGCCAGGGAAGTGCCCAGGAAGTAGACTTGATCTCTCTCCCCCCCCCCTCTCTAAAGTGGGGCATATAACTTTGAAAGTCCTCCCTTGCTTGGGGGGTTAAAAATGCATTCTTGCTCCTTAGCGTTCGATCCAGGAGAATAGGTGGTCCATGTGCTTTTTGTTAAGCACAGAACATAAAACGCATAAGCCACTCTTTGCCAAGTCCTCCAGATGTGCTGGATACTGCTCTGAGCACTCCCAGACAGCCATCTGAAGGGCACCAGATGGGAAAACGTGGCTGTTTCTGTGGCCATGCCACAGAATGACTGGATCACAGGTGGGGCTGCCATCCACCTCCTTGGGACACCAGATCACGAAAGGCTCTGCATGTGCCCCACCAAATGGCCCCTCACCACCCATACTGAAGTCCGAATCCCGCACAGGATCTTTTCTGCCATGTCTTTCACGGAGGACACATCTGCCACACTTGGGGCATTGCAGAAGTCTGCAGTGGTGCTTGGCATTGTGATCCTACGGTACGGGAATGCCCAGAATTTGAAATAGACAGGGCATGTTAGCGGAAAGGATTGTGCAACACAGGAATTCCCCCAGCAGAATGGGAGGGATTATGTCTTCTGCCTACCGTCACGCAAACCACAATACTTGGTGAAGTATCCTGAACCACCGGAGGCTGCACTGGGGCAAGCTTTTGCAGGGACCTGAGAGCAGTTGAAAATCTCAGGTTGGAACCTGCAGGCTGAGCTTCAGTTCATGAAGGGCACACTCCTCTCGAGGTTTAGACAAAGGTCTACTGCTCTCAGCATGCCCAAGCCAGCCATTTTTCTGTCCAAACATGCATTCGATTGTGCCGCCAATAACTACAGCTCTCTCCTACAAACTGTGCCCACATGGGAAGCTATCTTTTATCCAGGTGAACATTAACTTACACACACTGCAAACCAGGTCTATTTACTCCAGGGACAAGGATCTGGTGGCCCTCCAGATGTTGCTGGACTACAACTCCCATTATCCATGACCATTTGCTAAGCTATTTGGGGCTGATGGGAGTTAGCTCCCATAAGATCTGGAATGCCACTTTGAGTCATGTTGGTTCTCCAGCCATGGTTCTTCGTCACCCTTATGACGTGGGATCCATTCAACTTGGATGAGCAATTTTCAGGGGTGGGGGTGCTGCCATGGTTCCCAGGCACGTCCAGCCACGCCACCAAATTCCCATTGGAATTTAACAGTATTGCCAAAAATAAGCAAGCAAACAAATAAAAACAGGCCCTTTTAAAAGTGTGCTAGCAAGGAAAGTTTTGCAACATGGAGTGAGGTACCCCAAAAGTCCAGGCCAGCTTTATACACCCTATTCCTGCTTTATGTCCAAGGTGGATAGTCTGGAGTTCCTCAGGCCTTTTGGCCTGTAAATTCCCCTTGGCCCTAGCCAGCTTAGGCAACGGTGAGGGAAGCTGCACACCACAACATCCAGAGCTTCACAAATTGCTCACCCTGCTTTATGGGAGACTCTGACTTAAACCCAGGGTCTTTTGCATTCCAGGTGTGTACCTTGCCATGCCTCTGTGACTCGTCACTGAAGCCACAGCTAGAAAAAAGGTTGGTAACCTACTGCAGCAGTTTGAGCATCTCTCTTTTGCCCTCCCCTTAACTAGCTGCAGGGAGGCCAGCAATTGCACAGGTGCAGCGGGCCTTCCCTCAGCCTCACCTGGACATGGATGGACACCTGGGACGGGGTGTGAGCCACACACCAATGTGCTGGGGCCACATCCCAGAAGGGCAAATGCTGGCGCGATGCCAGGATAGCCTGGCCAAGACAACGTGATGCTCTTTGACATGAACGGAGGATTCACAGCCCTGCTTGTCCTTTCTTGGAGATCTTGGCCCCCAGCGCTCAGCCTCCGTAAATCCATTCATACCATACTGGGCAAAAGAGGTGAGAGTGGGAGGGACTCGATCTGGTCCCACCCCTGCTTCTTTCACAGTCATGCGGCTCCAAAGTCTTCCTTTCTTGCTGTTCCAGCCACCTACTTGCCTCCTTGCGAGAGATCTTTGGGCGCCACCTGCTGGGGAAACATTTCTTCCTTCCATCTGAGCTTCTGCGAACACCAGCCGTTTGAGGGGAATAAATCAGCGCCTGGCATATCGAGCCTGTGAGGACGCTCATGCGTCACCAGAAAGAGGAAATGCATTTCCCAAAAAGAGGACACCGCTTTGGCTGAAATGTGCACATCTGGAGCCAGTGTGGTATTGTGGTTAAGAGTGCTGGACCAGGACTCCGGAGATCTGGATGCTGGCCCAGACTCAGCCATGAAACTCCCTGGGTGATGTTTGGGCTGGCTCTCAGCTTAGCCTTCCTTACAAGGTTGTTGTGAGGGTAAAAAGTGGAGAGGAGGCAAATCTGGTAATGCTGCCTTGGCTTCCTTGCAAGAGGAGGAAAGGTGGGGTATGAATGCAACAACAACAACAGATGCAAATTCAGACATGGTTGTGATTTAAGTAGAAATACAGTACTTTTCACCATAGTGTGGAAGCCCCACGAGACTCCGTGATCTGTGGCCAAGTGGTGACTATGGATGGGCTATTTCAGGGCTTCTGCCTCTTCGTTCTCACGCTGGTTTAGCTTTGGACCACCTTGGACAGCACAGACCTTCAAGCAGAGGGATATCTGTTGTCAAGCAGGACGCTAGACATGGCTCCCCAAGGCAGGCCAGAGCAGCATGGGGCTCTCCGGATATTTTGGATTTCAGTGTCCAGAAACTGCTGCTGCTGACATGGAGCTGAAACCCAGCACACCTACAGGGTCCTCCTCTGCCCACCCCTGACCTAGGTCTAAGAACACAGTAGCTAATCTGTAATAATGTAATAATCTGTCCCAGGAGGTCATTTCTGGATGGGGAAATAATACGGCAGGGGGTGTTTTACCCCCATCTTTGCCTTGTGTTTTTTTTTAGTCTGTGCAAAACTGTACTTGTACTTTTATTCTAAAAACGCCTAACTACAGCATTAAAACACAACATTAACAGTGCAACACGCCATCAAAGTAAACCCGTATTTGCATAACTCAATTTGTCAAAGATACCAGACAAGTGCTTGAGGTGCAAACTGTGCCTACATTTACCTATGCATAAATGTCAAGTTCTAATGTGCCCATAAAATATTCCGTTTTCAATCATTTCTCTTCCTAGCTATGAGACCCTTCTGGGAACAGCAGACCTTCATGTTCAGTGCTTGCTGATCCATTGTACCTGCATCAGTGTTTGTTTTGACAGGCAACAAGGTTCCCATGAGCTTTCCCCAATCTGTGCTCTTCCAATGTGCTGTGCCACAGCTCCCATTATCCTCAGCCAGCATGGACATGGAATGATGACTGTTGTAACCCAACGCATTTAGAGGGTAGCAGGCTGGAGGACGGATACATGTCGTGTTAACCTCTCAGCTCACTGTGGCCAGAGGGAGAGGCAGGTATTTTTTGCATTTTCCACATGCTCTGATTCCAGTGGGAGGAAAATTACTGGGGCCACTGGAGGGTTGGGGCTCTTTTCAGGGACATATTGGCGGAATGAGGTGGCTTAGGACCCTGTGGATTCTCATTTTCCTTGAAGCTTCGTAACATGGCCCTGGGACTGTATGTTTTGTTAACAGGACAGGAAGCAGGATAAAACCTTCCTGGTGCTTGTCCAATTTCTGAGTCAAAGGATATCCTTGGTCAGCCTTCTTCAAATGATATAAGAAAAACATGGATTTAGACAGAAAAAAGTGTCGCAGCATCCCCAGCCCACATGCTGTCCACTGCAGGATTTTTTCCCTGCCTAAGATAAGAATGTGCCCTCTATCAAAAGCATTGTTTCAATGGCCATACTTAGAATAGATGGCATTTTGCTCTGCTAAAACTTTCTTAATCGAAGTCAGTAGCAAAACAGTTGTAAGTTTTCGGTTATAATGTAAGTACCAAAGGATGCAATCCTATGCCAGATAGGCGAAAAAGCAGCCTACAGTTCCCAGCATGCCCCAGCTAGCTCTGTTGACTGGGGCATGCTGGGAGCTGTAGGTCTTTTTTCTGTCTAAACTTGCATAAGATTGTGCCTTAAGAGTGCAGTCTTACCCATTTCTACTCAGAAGCAAGCCCCCTCGAATCAATTGGACTTTCTTCCAGAGGAATGTGGATGGCATTGTAACCTAAATAACCCAAGTATTTATGTCTCTACTGAAATCTGTATGACTGTTGTAACTATTTCTCACTTGTTGTGGTTGACGTGAAGGCCAACTCAACAACCAGGTAAAGTTGATTCCAGATTAAGTAAGCTTGCATTATAATCCAATTTAATGGCACATCACTTGAGTCTCTGAGCTGCTTAATCCACTTGTCAACTTTCACAGTTACTACAAAATAGTTTCATGTTTGGGGCAAATGCAATGGATGGATGGAAAGCTCTGAGTAAGGACTGCTAAAAGCAGGAAACAAGTCTTCTTCAAACAGAAACAAAATGGGAGTTCAGGTACTCAGGGTGGATGACAAAATGATAGCAGGTGACAAAGAAAAGGCAGAAGTGCTTAATTCCTGCTTTGGCTCAGTCTTCTCCCAAAAGATCTATGATCTTCCTGATGAAGCTAAAGGGGCAGGATGGCAGGTGATTGTCTAATTGGGTTGAATGAGTTCAAATGTCGTGATGAGCTCCACCCTAAAGTCATAAAGGAGCTGGGGGAAAGAACTCTCAGAACCACTGTCTATTATCTTTAAGAAATCACGGATAACAGGGAAGTGCCAGATGACTGGGGAAGGGCTAATGTTGTCCCCATCTTCGGGAAAGGAAAAGAAGAACTGGGGAACTACAGACCAGTCAGTATGACATCAGTCCCTGGGAAAATTCTGAAGCAGTTTATAAAGCATTCAGTCTGCATACACCTGGAAAACATTGCAGTAATTCCTAGAAGGCTGCATGGATTTGCCAAGAACAAATCTTTCCAAACTAATTTAATTTTATTGTTTGATTGGGTAGCCTCCCTGGTGGACTATGGGAATGCTGTGGACACAATACTTTTTGACTTCAGTAAAGCTTTTGACAAAGTGTCCCATGATATCCTTGATTAGCAAACTAGCTAGATGGAACAATGATTGGGTAGATCCACAGATGACTACAGAATCAAAGAATGCTCATCAACAGTACCTTCTCAAATTGGGGAGAGGTAACAAATGGGGTACCAGTGCTGAGCCCAGGCCTCTTATCATTTTTATTAATGATTTGGATGAGGAAGTACAGAGAGTGCTTATCAGATTTGCAGATGACATAAAATTGGGTGGGATAGCTAATGCCCCAGAAGACAGAATCAAGATTCCAGATGATCTTCATAGGTTGGAGCTCTGGGTGGAAAATAACAGAATGAAATTTATTTATTTATTTATTTATTTATTAAAACATTTTTATGCCGCTCCATTCGCCGAAGCCTCGGGGCGGCTTACAACAATAAATTAAAATAACATTTTAAAATATATACATTAAAATACAAATATATGATATAAAACATACAATATAAAACAAGCCGCCCTGGCCAGATAAAATTCAATAATATTAACATTTAAAATACTGCTTAAATAAAAAGGTCTTCGCCTGGCACCGAAAAACAAATAACGACGGCACCAGGCGGACCTCTCTGGGGAGCGCATTCCATAACTTAGGCGCCACCGCTGAGAAAGCCCTCCTCCGAGTATTTAATTTAATTTAATAAGGACAAATGCCAAGTTCTGCACCTAGGAAAAAGAAACCAAATGCATCATTACAAGATGGGGAATACCATATTTTTTGCTCTATAAGATGCACCTGACCATAAGACGCACCTAGTTTTTAGAGGAGGGATCCATGGAAAGCTTCCTGATAATCGCAGGCACATTCCCCATCACTTCCCCATGGGCTTCATTAAAAGACGGGTTGCCATTTGAAAACACACACCCACCTGTGATTAACAGCTCTCACCTGCACTGGAGGAGGGGCGCGGAGCAGGGCGCGCCGAGCACGTGCCGGCCAGGTGGTACCACGTGGGGCCGGCAGCGTGCCGGCAATGGTCTTCCACGGCAGCAGCGGCAGGTCTTCCCGGGTGGTGGGGGTGAGCAGTCCGTTTCTCCGTGCAGCCGGCGGGTTAAAGGCCGCAGCTCCTCCTCCTCCGCACGCCTCCCCCTGAGCGGCACAGCTCTCACCTGTGCCGGGGGGGGGGAGGAGCAGGGCGCGCCGAGCACGTGCCGGCCAGGTGGTGCCACGTGGTACAGGCAGGCTGGCAGCGTCCCGGGCATTGGGCACACACACATTCGCTCTATAAGACGCACAGACATTCCCCCTTACTTTTGAGGGGGGAAAAGTGCATCTTATAGAGCAAAAAATACGGTACTTGGCTCAACAATACTGCAAGTGAGAAAGATCTTGGAACGGTTGCAGACGACAAGCTGAATATGAATCGTCAATGTGATGTGGCTGCAAAAAGGCCAAATGCTATTTTGGGCTGCATTAATAGAAGCATCACCTCCAAATCACGTGAAGTACCAGTTCCCCTTCCCTTGGCACTGGTTCGCCCTCATCATACGGGGAAGTGGTCGTGTTACTGATGGAGCGCACCAAATGCGCACTTGGATGCCCCCTCCCCCGCTGCAGCCAGCGTTCTGCAAAGCCTGGCGTGCGCGACCATGTGCATTCTCCAGAGAGAAGAGATGTTTTGTTTGCTGCCGACACGTGGAAGGAATGCGCTTTGTGATGTCTGCGCCTCCTTCCATAGTTCTGCATCCGCTTCCAAGAACTGAGCAATCTTGTGCTAACTCACAGCTCTCGTCTGCTAGGCCCAGTTCTGTTCCTGGAGAAATTTCTTTCTTGGTGCACACACCGCTTCGGTCTATGTCTTGTGTATTCCAAAGTGTTTGCTTGCAAGTGCATAGGATTATTTCTATAGCACCTGAGCTGGGAATTTAAAGATGTAGACCATTTCTACTAAGGAGAGGAAACAAAGTTTGTTTGTTTTTTCTGATTTATATCCTGCCTTTTTCCTACAAAGAGCTCAAGGCAGCTTACATCATTCTCCTCCTCCATCTTATCCCCACAACAACAACCCTGTGAGGTGGGTTGGGCTGAGAGTCTGTGACTGGCCCAAAGTCACCCAGTTGGCTCCATGGCCGAGCGGGGACTAGAACCCGGATCGCCTGAGTCCCCGTCCCGAGCTCTTAACCACGACACCACACCGGCTCTCAAAGTTCTGGACAAGAGGAGATTTCTAATGAGTGAGTGAGCCTCAGGGAGGGAGGAGCACTAAGGCAGCAGGCTGCTGGGCTGAAACCACTGTTCCTGCAGCTGTTCTCATCTCTCAGGGGTTTCGTTTCTCCTTTTTGTGAACACCCATCCTGTTTCATGAAGTGGAATTCCTGATGATCAAGAATAGAGCGACAAACGTTTCCTGCATAAGAAAGCAAGCTCGTAAGAGCAGAGGCGACAGAGAGAAAAGGACGCACGAGACGACGGATAAACACATTGAGAGATACAGACAGCAAGAAAGCCACCGTAGAGAAGGTAAAACACAGGCAAGGAAAGAGGAGATATTCAGCAATAGAAATGTTGTATTTAGTTCTTAGCAAGGCTTTTGTTGATCTCAGAGCATAAAAGAAGACCTGGCCCTGCCAGCAGGATTATGTAAAACATGGAAGAAAAGAAAGTTAGAGACAGAGAGTGACGGAAATGAGGTTTTGGTGGGAGATAAAGAGAAAGGCATGGAATGCATTTTTCAGAGGGGTTCTGTATTGTGTTCCCTACCTTCTCGATCGATGCTAGGATACATGGGTGGCTAAGGTGATTGATTGCTTACACAATGTTTTTCAGGGACCATCCTCATAGGATTAAACAGAAAAGTGTTGTTGAACTTTACAGGGGTCCAGATGCTGCTGCTGCTTTTCCATTTGTAACCCTCCTGTGGGTTTTTAAAAAAATAACTTCTGTCATCTTTCTTTCCACAACAAATCCATTATGGAGGAACAAATGGCATATCGATTTATGGATTAATAGACTGCCTCAGTTTGTAAAAAGCCATCAAGGCAGTGGACAACCATTTAAAACAACACCCCCTTAATCCAATGAAAATGAGAACATTAAAAACAGGAAAAGATTAAACAATTGCATCATGTAACAAGTTAAATTTAAAATGATCTTCACACCCTTTCTGAGAGCCAAGATGGTGGGGGCGGATTGTAGTGTTAAAGACATGCATTCCACAGTTTGGAAATTACACAAAAGAAAGCAATTTCATGCATGTCCAATACACAGGTCTCTGTGGGTCATGAAATCCTCCCAGAGGGACTCTTTTGCACCTCTTAATAACTGGGTGTATTAAGAATAAAACAGGCATTCCTTTATATCTGTACAAAACTGCTTAATCACTTGTGCTAGGAACCTTCTGCTGTAGAAGAGCAAGGATGAGTTGAAGTTTGATGTTTTGTACTTCATCTCCCAACATTCCTGAACGTTCGCCATGCTGGCATGGACTTCTGGGAGCTGATATTCAAAACATCTGGAAATCTACTTTCTGCCTACTCCTGCCCAAGAGAATTCAGGAATTTGGTCCCCAACTTTCCAGCTCAACATAGTCCTCTTGCACATACCTGGTCTTCTAGGGTCTACCTGGATGGATAGTGTACTACCTGTTTTGGCCTCAGTGGGATCAAGTGGGCTCTACCAGCTTAGACTGGTGCACCCCAGCTATGTCTTTCTCTCAGCAGGTATAAGCTGGTTTCAGTTAACTATGGACTGGTAACCTCCAAGTTAGACTACAGCAATTGCACTTTACATGGGGCTGCTCTTGAAGACTGTTCAGAAGCTGCAACTTGTATATATTGAAATGTTATGTGCTTTTCTATTATCTGCATTTGTGTTTTTTATGAATTGTTGTGAACTTTCCAACGAGCTTTGGCCACTGGGGGATGAAATGAAATGAAGCAAAGAACAGATTCTAAGAACTTCATTGTGGAACCTCTTTCTAAAAGGAGACTTAATTTTAGCCAAGGTAAAATGTCAGAATAATTTGTTCTTTTGCTCAGTTCCAGGTTAGAAGTTCTGGAACATGAGAAGCAAACTGGTGTGTGTTAGAGTGTGTATCACAGAGTGTGGCTCTTCTCATAGAAGTGAAGGCAAGGGAAACAAGCAAGCAACCGAGAGCAAGGTGGAAGAGAACGTAGATAGTAATTGGTACAGTCAGATAACGACAGCTGTATGCGTGAGATCATATCACACCGATGGGAAAAGCTTTGTTTGAAGTAATCTTTCGTAATTGTAATCCAAAAGTCACAAAGCAATACTACAATGGTTACAAACACTTGATCCTGCATGCAATAAGGATTCGCAATCACACATTCGGTTTATGCATTTTGTGGACAAAATGTGATCCTTCCAACGTTGTTGGGCTGCATCGCCAGTGAGCCCCATCTGGAAGACCACAAGTTGTGTGCCATCCCTGGAATAGAGTGAAACAAGCCCCTTGCAGGCTCTGCCTCCCAGTGGCCCTTGCTCTGCAAAATTATATCCAGAGACAGACATTGCTTGAGAACTATTCTGGTTCCTCTGACAGAGTGGGGGGCCCAGTACCTAACTCCTGCAAGATCTAGATAGCTCCCAGCCCACTTTTTACAGAGAAAGCTCCTCTATTTTGGTCCCTAACCCGATTCTCCTATAGGAGAGTTCTTTTGCTTCCCTATTGTTTATTTATTATATTTATTTCTCACCTTCCTCCCACTGTGGAATTCAAGGTGGCTACAGGCAGTTCCCAGGTGGTCCCCCCTCCAAAACTAGGCCACCCCCAGACCCTCTTAGTTTCAACATGGTGGATGCCTGAAATGCCTTCAGACCATACTCTGGGCCTACTATATCATTGGTCACCAACATGGCATCCATGGACACCAATGTGCTCACAGGTACCTGCCTTGATGCCCACCAGGCTCATTGCTTTTTCTGATTTTTATTTTTAAAAATTATTTTTAACTGGAAAGCTCTCATATGCAATGTGAGGGACTGCCCTCCAGCTTCATCCTCATCCTCTTCATCATCACGTTGCAGTTATATTCTAATTTTTCTTCTGGTGAGAAACCCAGAGGGTATAATGCAGTCCGTTATATCCTCAGGACAACAACCCTGTGAGAAAGGCTGAGAGTGAGTGATCGGCCCAAAGGCCTAGCAGGGACTAGAACCCCAGACCCTTGAAATCAGTACTGAAGATCCTGCTGAAATAGTACTACCCCAGTTTGTTCGAATCTTCCATGCCCCCCATTAACAAAATATGCCATCTGGGAGTCTAAACTTGTTAAAGTAGCAGGAGCAGCCATAGCTGAAACCAAGAACGCCTTTCGGTTGTCCACAAGGGAGGGGGAGGACTGGGGCGCACCCAGAACCCACAAGAAATTTTGGTGGGGAAGGGACGGAGCAGGCACCTCAGGATCAATGACCGGAGAAATAAGCCTCCGTGGCGTGGTGATGCAAGGGACCTGCACTGAGCCCCACAGTCCCTCTCAGCCCTACTGCAGGTAACCCAGGGAAGACCTACATGTCTCTCCTCTTCCTATCAAGATCACAAGCCATTTTCAGGCCTGTTGTGGCTTCTTTTCTTTCTATTTGCTCTGCCTGCCAGAGATTGCAAGAGCCAGCTTGCAGCTGGCTTTCACAGCCCCCCTTTTGACAGCTGCTGACAGTCCCTGCAAAGTGTCTGAGTGGCACCTTGGGGTGGGGGGCTGTTGGTGGTGGGTAGAACCTTTTCCTTCTTCTGTTCCTCCTCCTCCTCCTCCACCTTCTTTTGCAAAGCTCCACATTAAGGTTTTTTTTTTTTTTTTTTTGTGGATAGCTGCCTTTGCACAGCACTGGGGCAATGACTTGTGGAATGCCGGCTGCCAATGTACTTGGCAAAAAACTCACAAAAAGTAAAGGCACAAGCGATCTTAACGGGATGGTCTGACTTATGCCCCTTGTGTGGCGAGATCTTCATTTCTTTCTCCTCTTTTCTCTCCAAAGTAATCCACATGCTGGTGCATATTTTTAACTGTTTCACTTGGGAACATGCAAAGTGTATCCTCTGTTTTTTGGGAAAAGGAGCTTTGACAAAACTCTGGTCCCTTTGAAAGAGATTTCAACAAGGCAGCAGGTACTTTTTGACTAGGGCATATGGTTGTATCCTTTTTGTGTCCACAAAATTAAAAAGAGAACAGAAACGGCTCTTCCACAGTACTGCTCAAGTACTTTGACAGGTTTGCCAGTGGCTGTCAAAATGAGGATCATGAAACCCAGCTGTCAAGTTCACTTTCCTGATCTCCTAAAGAAAAAGTAAAAAGAAGAAAAGCCTCAGGAAGCCCAAAATGGTTTCTGGTTATGGAGGCAAAGGAGGAGGCCCAGGGCCAACCACCCCCAAGAGCTGGTTGGGCACTTTTGGGGCACCTGGCACTGGCAGCCACCTGGGAGCCACCTGGCAGGGGCAGGAAGGGTTTTCTGTCACTCTTGCTAAGTTGCTGATTCCCTGTTCTCACAACAGGGGTGGTCACCAGGGTTGGGATGACATGACAATCTGTCATGGTTATAACAACTCCAAGAACAGCCCATGGTTGGTTGGGGTTACTCGTTGCCCATTCACAAGTCACCTGAGGAACTAACTTTGGGTTTGCATGACACAGTGACCCAATGTGGGTAGCTACCCGTTTGGGAACCCAGTCAATGCACAAGCCAAACTGTGTCAGAGAACAAACATACATCTGGTAGGGGCTTGTTGCCAATTGCAGCACCCCAAAACACCCCAAAAGTAATTGGCCAGAGAAAGGTCCCAAAAGTAGTTGGCCAGAGGAAGGTCACATAGTAAATACACCACAGTTATATTGTCCCAGGAGGGAGGGCAGTTAAGTACAAAATGAACTTTGTGTAACCCACAGCTAACACACTAGCCTGACCTCGAAAACAGTAATCAAAGGGGCAGCGGAAACTGGTTCTAGCTGCCATGAAAGTTGCAAATGAGCTGTGTGAATCTCGAGCAGATAAGAAATAGACATGGGAAATGTCTGGTCCTTGACAGAAGAAAGGACTCTTTCTCCAGCACGGGAGGGGGTGCATACATTGAAGTATTAGATGTGTATTAGGTGACCTAATTGGTTATCTAGGGTATAAAACACATTATTATTATTATTATTATTATTATTATTATTATTATTACATTTCTATGCCGCCCCTTGCCGAAACCTCGGGGCGGCTTACAACATGATGTACCGGGATGCAACTTTTGAGACACTGCTTTGGGCTGAATGTCCCCTTTTGTCTCCCTTTATTCTACAGTGCACTAGAATAAAGCTGGTTTTGGCTCTAAGTCTCATCTCAGGCTCTGTTTGGCTCGGGTCTGGGGTCCACCTGGATTTGCCCCAGCTGTTGACTGGCTGAGTCCGGTAACAGGCTTATGTTGGGGTTGCCACCTTTTTGTCTGCCAGGGTACGTAAGTTGTGTTACAGGCACACATTCAACAAGTTGCACTCTTCCAACTGTACAGATACTTCAGTGGGAGAAAACTTCCTTTGCTGAATTACTTTCTGTCCTGCAATGGTTAGAGGCCCAGGAACCCTGTGAGACAACAAAGCATACCAGCCTGCCTTAGTTAGTTCCCTCTTCAGCATCTCTTCAGGCCTTTACAACAAGTCTCTTCTCTTCTCTTCTCTCCTCAGATGGCTGCTGTCATTGCTAGTGTGGCCCGACTCCTTCAGCCAGCCCTGGCAATTTCTGAAGGCGAATCTGGTTGCCATGGCCTAGCCCCCTGGTATCTCCTCTTAGGTCTACGCCTGGTGGCTCTTTTCATTGCCGATGGGCCCTGGTCGTCCACCAAGCCTGACCTGGCCTGTAACTGGACCTCAACAACAGTGGAAACCCAGTCTTTCTGCAGAGCACTCTGCTTCAACCAGCATTTCTCTTCCTCCACATCCTCCGTGTGGGGCTTTGCTTTTTTGATTGTCCTGCTTCCAGTGGGATTGATGCGACTTATAAGGGCTGGAGCTACGCGCAAGGGAAGGGCAACCAGGAAAACAGATGAAGAGTTGACAGATACCATGGGAGCAAGTCCCAACATGGCAAGTGGAATCAACATGGCTCCCGGAACACTTCCGTTGCCCAGCATCGCTGCCTTCAGAAACAACACTCTTCCGTTGGAGTCCAAGTTTCCCTGTTGCACCAGGCAGTTAGTGGCTTTCAATCTTTGTGTAATTCTTCTCCTGACAGTAGAGGCCTGCTTCCTCTGGATTGTAGTATCACTGCAGATCCCATCCGTGTCCGAAATGAGCTTCTTGTGCCTTCCCAGAGCACAAAGCTGCCCCCAGGCTCTGGAATGTGTTGTGGCAGGCCAGGCTGACAAGCAGGTAGCACTGTGGGCTTTGGTCTTCACGGCCATTGTCAACGTGGGTGCCAGCCTGGCCTACCTTTTCCTACAGCTGGGGAAGGTTCCCCAGTGCCGTGGAAGATGACAGAGAAGGGAGAAAGAGAGCAAGAACCTGGGCAGTGAAAAGGAAGCTGATCAGTGTAATGTACCAGCCTTCCCCAACCCTGTGTCCCCCAGATATGTGGGACAACAACTCCCAGCGTCCCCAAGCCAACATAACTGGGAGTTGTAGCGCAACACTTCTAGGGGTCACCAAGCCTAGGAAGTCTGCAATATCTCAGAGCTGGCTATGTCACTCATAAGTGATGGAAGAATATTTAAGCAGTATTTTAAATGTTGATATTATTGAATTTTATTTGGCCAGGGCGGCTTGTTTTATATTGTATGTTTTATATTATATATTTGTATTTTACTGTATATATTTTAAAATGTTATCTTAATTTTTTGTTGTAAGCCGCCCCGAGGCTTTGGCGAATGGGGCAGCATAACAATGTTTTAATAAATAAATAAATAAAAATAAATAAAAAATCTGTTTGGGAGAGCCAGTTCTTTGGGTTCAGTGGAATGAAAGCAGGCTGGCGCTTGGGTGGGTCCCAAGAACTTTTGTTTTTCAGCTTAGTATTTCAAATTCTGTCTTCCATTATGTTCTCCTTTTCTCTCCTCGCACCTTTGCATCTCTCCTCATTTTTAAAAATTGGCATGTACTTGTAAACATGGCTTTCTTCTTCATTTAATGGAAAATATATATTTTATGGATGTTGTGCACACTGCTTAGAAGACTCCTTTTCAAAATGTGAGATAAAATCTAATGAATGAAATATATACTTATTTAATTCATTTCTGTACCACCCAATAGCCAAAACTCCTGGGGCTGTTCATAGTGATGTGTAAGAAACACAAACCACAAATATAGAAAAAGTGTAGAACCTGGCACCCTATTCGTTGATGCGTTTACTTAGGAGGTCACTGGGCATCCTTTACATGTAATTACTGCAGTGAAGATTGCATTCGCTCAACACTGGAAAAGTGAAGAACTACCCACTGATGAGCTGACTTAAAAAAAAAAAGATTCTGGACTGTGCAGAAATGGATAGATTGATTTTATCATGGAAGGTGAAGGAAGATACTAACTTCTATCAAACTTGGGACTCTTTTTATTATTGGCTAGAGAAACGGGACTTCGTATAGATTTAAATATGCTTTTAAGTTATCATAAATGGAAAAAAAATGTGGGGGCTGACCCAGCAGGCCCCATGTTTTTGATGATTGATGTTGTTTTTAGTTTTTCTTTGTTTTTAGGATTATAATTTCAAATAAAACTTATTATAAAAAATACATTAACATGAAAAACACACCAAATGTGTTTGAAGCACCACGTCTTCTTAAATATTTCACTGGTATTATTTTTCTTATAAGCATTTGCAGAAAGCAGATTTTCAACCAGACTTGGATCCACAGGCTGAAAGAGGCTCCCCACTGTTGTAGTTTATGGCACAGTTGGACATGACTTATTCTGGATAAAAAGAGCATCATTGAGCATGAATCTGTTACCTGACACCAACACGTCCTGCCTGAGAAGGTCCAGCTATAGGGTTACTAAGAGCTGCAGGAGAACAGGGAGCACTTTGGTGCCAACTGCACTGCTGACTCACCTGGGCTGGCCTCTCTAGGTGAGCGGGGCTCCCTTTGGCCTGGGGTGGCCAGGCCAGGTGAGTCAGCAGTGCAGTTGGTGCCAAAGCCAGCAAGGTTGGGAGCTGCCCTGCTCCAGGCCAGCAGGTTGGTCCATCTGGCCCAGCTACTGCTCCGAACAGCAGTAGCTGGCCAGCATCTCAGTGGTCCCCATCACCTACGTCCTGGTTCTTTTCAATCCACAATGGCGGGATTCAGGCTGGGACTTTCTGCCATTTAACACTGGCCCCTTCTCACAACACCAGCGGCAGACAAACACCCTGTTCATTTTGGAAGCCTGTCCTGGCAGTGGCTTGTGAGCAGTGTGCAGTTGACCTGGGACTTGCAGGGACACATTTTGGGGACTTTTGGATTAGCAGGAGTTGTGATGTGATCTGCCAACCCTCTCAGCCTTCTGAGTTCAGTTGCAATCCTCGTGGTAGCTGAGGGTGGGAGGGATGAAGGGGAATGGGGTTTGCTGACCACAATATATTATTGTGAGTTATTTTTTTTTGGGGGGGGGGTCCTCTTTCAGTGCAAAATAGGGCTTTTTTTCCAGTCCCCAGATCATCCTTACTGCCCTCTTTTGAACCCTTTCCACATTCTAATTTCTCTAAAACAAGAGCTTACTCACGCAGCTGGGTGTGAAATGCTTTCCAGTTAATCTTTCATCAGTGCTGTAGTTCAGAGCACTGCTAATTTCAGGGAGTTTCTGTACATTGAAAGTGAGGAATGGGATGGGCAAGAATTGAATTCAGTTTTCAATAAGAATGTTCTAAAAAGTGCAAAATTCTTTCTAAACAGGAGGGAAAGAACACTTTTTAAAAATAACTCAAATGTGGAAGACAGATATATGCCTCCCTGTCCTTGCCAGAACCTCCTTTCTCTAAAGTAGTTGGCAGGGCTGATGGGAATTGTAGGCCAAGACATTTGGAGGGTGCTGGGATGGGGCAATCTGCTCTAAACTGTAACAAGTATCCTCTGGGGCAAACAGGTGCAGAAAACTTGAGCACTGAAATGGGCATTTACATAGTCCTGATGGTTTCTCAAAAATGCCTAAGTTGGTTTCAAGCAAGACAGTCCCCACCTGTGGGCTTGCAGTCTAAAAGACATAGTGCAAAAAGTAAAAGGAATGGGGATGGAAGAGGAAGAGGAGGGAAACAAAGCCAAACATTGGCTCCTAAAGCTTGGTAAGGAAAGCACCCAAGGGAGCTGGCCTTCCGGCCAAGCTGAGGGGTTGGCCCTGCTGTTCCACCCAGAGGTGATGGGTGCTGACAGTGGAGGGAGGGAGACCTTTCAGCCAACCTGGTGGAGACGACTTTGCAGTCCCACCTCTCTTTCTGCAGCTGGCAGAAGAAATAATGGCTGGAGTGACAAACTCTGTTTCTTTCATCATGAAGCCCTGCCTGCCTTGCCTTTTAAAACTCCTAGTTCTTGCGCTGCCCTTGTAGTTTCAATTAATCAGTCGGTCAGCAAATCTCTGGATTTAGCTCAATGAACTTTTATAAATTGCATGATTCAATTTTCTGACATATCACAAATGACTTACTGACACTGTGCACAGAATTGCATCTCAGGTGGCTGGACATTTGGGAAACAACCATCGGCTGCTTCTCAGATCAGGATTGGTTGAACTTGTCACAGACCTGAGAATTTCTGCCACATTTTTTCTTTTTCTTTTTTAATTGAAAGTAGGACCTAAGGCTTCCCTCTGTGTTCCTAACTATTCCAGGATAGTTTGAAAGAAGAGTGCCTGAACTGAGAGATAATTGTATGAACAGCCTTTCATTCTCAGAATAGGTTGGAAACTGGTTTCTAAATTGCCAAGGTTGGCAACATCTGGATTGTGTGTTGAAAAACGTGGCAGACCTGTTCAGCTGGCATTGTTAATTAAAAGTATGCAGTGGTGCCCTCTTTAATTTTTATTACCAAGTGGCTCCCGTCTTAAAGCATTTGGAATAGGGCTTCGCTGGCATTCATTAAAAGTATACAGTGGTGCCCTCTTTAATTTTTATTACCAAGTGGCTCCCATCTTAAAGCATTTGGAATAGGGCTTCGCTAGCATTCATTAAAAGTATACAGTGGTGCCCTCTTTATTTTTTATTACCAAGTGGCTCTTGTCTTAAAGCATCTGGAATAGGGCTTGGTTTGTGGCCACAGAGCCATCAAGCACACCGGCATCACTGCTAGTGCTAGCCAGAGTGGGCCCACCGGCATCACTGCTAGTGCTAGCCAGAGTGGGCCCACCATGCCTGCGTGAAGGCGTGCCTGTTGGCCTTCCCAGGCTTGGCCGCAGCCACCCTACATCTCACAGCCTTCTGAAAGAGGCACCGTCTACTTCATTTCCCTGAGCGGGGCTGCCCCATAGCAGGGAGAGGGGGCTGGCCTATAACCCTGTCTCTTAGGGTTACAGAGTAACCCTGAGTAAGAATAACCCTGTCTCTTACGGTTTCTCAACTCATCTTTCTTGGCTTTAGACTTCATTGGGAAAGTCCAAATAAATCCTCAAATAAAAAGAGATGTTTTTGTGTGTCCTTTAATATAAAATCTCACAGCAGTGCCCTTACTTTTCTCCACTCAAGGGACTAGAACTTTTCACCCAGCTCCACACACCTGGGAAAAGCAGGCATCCCCAGGGGCTCCATATTCATGCATTTTCTCACAGAGTAACTAACACATGCCAAAGGCTACACAATACAAAGTATTAAGTTATATATGTTAAAATGTGGAGAGCCTCATCTGTCCTCTCCCCCTTCCCAGCTGCAGGGTTTTTCCTTTCTAATTCCTTCTCTGGGAAAAGTAAAACAGCCCCAAGCATGCAAACAATCCGCCTGCTCTCAGGCAAGCTCCTAGTTGAAACAATGCGGCAAGCTGATCTGGGCAGCTGCGCTTCCTTTCCAATGTAAAAATATCTAGCCAGCTCATGCTTTGTCTTAAGCCAGCTCATGCTTTATTTCCAGGAATCTTGTATCTCCGATTGCAAAGCCCAAAATATTTTAAACCTGTTAGATTTCTGTAATTCCAGATTGTTTTATTTGTTATCTGTTACTCAAGTCTTTGATTGGGTCATGATGTTTTTCCTGATGCCTATAATGATGCCTATAATGATTTCTCAATGTTTCTGCATTCAGTTTTTGTGTTTCCCCACTGTCCTTGCCTTCTCACTCATCATTCAGAATCTCAGCACTGCCCTGAAACTGTGAACATGACCCACAATTTATAAAAAACTTCTATGCTCTGGAAGCTCATAGTTCAGTATACCAGCTACCTGACAGTGCTATTGTTTTTTTTCTCTGTCAGAGAAGGTGTACCTGGGTGTTCTGCCAATAAACTGCTGAGACTGAGCGTAGCGTCTTCTTCCACACATGCCTTTTCCCAGTCTACATTTCTGAGATTTCCTGAAACTGCATGGATTGCAAAGACATGTATCATTAGGATAGTTTCCCTTCTAGTGCCTTCAACCACACAGGCATAGCAAGATTAATTATAATTAATGCATTTTGGGGAAGAAAACTGAACCAAAGTAGGAATTGAGCATTTCTGTGTTTTCTTGGTCATCCACTTTGAGTAGTTCAGCCCCCATTTTTTCCTCACTTGTACTTTGGACATATCTGAAGAAGTCTTTTTTGTTGCTTTTAGCATCCCTTGCTAGCTTCAGTTCATTCTTAGCTTTAGCCTTCCTGATGCCATCCCTGCAATTCTGTGATACCTACCTGAGTTTTTCCTTGTGGCCTGG